AGGAGTCGCCCCCTGGTGGACACTAGAGAGAATGCAGCTTTTAAGACTTTTCAGCAGGTTGCCGTCCTGGTGTCTGTGTGTCTAAATACCAATAAGTAGCAATTTTTAATTTTTACGCTGAGTTAAATGGTGTGTAAAGAAGCATTAATGTTTCATATTGTGCACATGTATATCCATAATGAGATAACCATACGTGCTGCAGTGTGTGTGACCCTATTGGTATTCCAGTGTGGACTGTGCGTATCGCTGGGACAGGATCCCCGTTGACTCAATTAAAGCTGCATATTGTTCTGCAAAGCATTGAATAATGGCGAAGGGCCCCTTCTTAGCCCCGCCCCCCCGCTGGGACCATCCTTGTGGATAATTCAGTTGACTTTGATGTGTGGCAATAACATATTGGTGCACATACTGTATGAATGATGAGTGTCTCCATGTTTACTGAGGAGAGACAGAAAGGTGGTCTGTCGTTTATTTTGTTTCTTTTTTATCATATTGTATCATCACTCACTTTCTGCGCATCGTGGTCTCCCATTAATGCGCAGAGAGAGAGAGAGAGACAGACAGAGAGACAGAGAGAGAGAGAGAGACAGACAGAGAGAGAGAAAAACATAGAGAGAGAGAGAGAGCGACAGACAGAGAGACAGAGAGAGAGAAAAACATAGAGAGAGAGAGAGAGCGAGAGAGACAGAGAGAGAGAGACAGACAGAGAGAGAGAAAAACATAGAGAGAGAGAGAGCGAGAGAGAGAGAAAGCGCTCCTCCTCCTCTTCCTCCTCCGTCTCTCTTCCCAACACTCATCCCCAAAAAGGCACCGTGAGACGGTCTGCACGGCGGAGTCCTCTCGTCGTCTCTAGAATGGAAACGGAATTAAACGGGCTGTGGTTCGTCCGTCTCCGGTACTTTTCCTCTCTCACAGCAGCAGCAGCGTGTCTCCTCTCCGCTGAATAACTTCATATTTCCTGGTATATATATATATATATATATATCATTTTATTTGTTTCCAGGTCTCGCTTTCAGGATAAACCAAACCATCCAACTTGTTACTAAACTGTTCTGAAAGAAGGTCGCGGGTTCTTTCTTTTTTTAATGGATGGAGAATTTTGAATCGGTGAGTTTTAATCGAAGATGCAGCTTTTTTTAAATCTTTTTTTCCCCAACATTTTGCTTTTTTCCATGTTGAGGTTTAGCAGCCAACAGAATTGTACGAATAAAATACTTGTTTAAAATTCGGGTCGCATGCAACTGAATTTAATGGTGAATTTGACCTGAATAAATCACCAAGTACCAAAATAAAAGCTGCATCTTGTAGCTGCTGTAGTTGGAACTCAACAGGTTCTGAACGTCCTGCTCGTGTCCCTCCCTCCAGGAGAACACTAGCTTGTAAATGAGCCTGTTTATATGAGAGTTTGTCTACAAACACAACCTATATAGAGAATATCATGATGCAGGTTTTAGACCTATGAGAGTCAGTGAGCTGGAACCTGATGAGGGGAAATCTGAGAGATATGAAGTCATTATGGGGACGATGATGCTGAGTGGAAATTGCAGTATGTCTGTAATCAAATGAAAGCTTTCTATATCAGATATAAATGTTGATAATGCTGTGCACTGTAGAGGTGCACAGTTGAGTGTGATGGTAAAATTAGATTTGGAATAAAGAGACTTGTTTTTACTGTCTCAGCTAGACTTCCATTAAGACTATGAGTTGTATTATTTACATCTGTAACATTCATTTATCTTAGTTCCTCATCGTTTGCTTCCTCCTGACCTTCACAACCCCCCCCCCCCCCCCCCCTTTAGATGGTGAGCGAGTTGAGGTCAAGCTGGTTGTGAAGGCGCTGGACTTGTCCCCCCCAAAGCCCCGGACACAGCATGGCGGGAGTAGCAGCGTGGCTTCCCTTCGCCCGGGCGGCGGCCATTGGCTGGATGCCCGTGGCCAACCTGCCCATGCCGGTGGCGCCCGCCGAGAAGAACAAGCGCCAGGACGAGATGATCATCCTCAACGTCAGCGGGCGGCGCTTCGAGACCTGGAGGAACACGCTGGACCGCTACCCGGACACCCTGCTGGGGAGCTCGGAGAAGGAGTTCTTCTACAACGAGGAGACCAAAGAGTACTTCTTCGACCGGGACCCCGACGTCTTCCGCAGCGTGCTGAACTTCTACCGCACGGGGAAGCTCCACTACCCGCGCTATGAGTGCATCTCCTCCTACGAGGAGGAGCTGGCGTTCTTCGGCATCATCTCGGAGATCATCGGCGACTGCTGCTACGAAGAGTTTAAGGACCGGAAGCGGGAGAACGCCGAGCGTCTGATGGACGACCAGGAGGACAACAAGGACGCCAAGCTGCCCAACATGACCTTCCGGGAGACCATGTGGCGGGCCTTCGAGAACCCCCACACGTCCACCATGGCCCTCGTCTTCTACTACGTCACGGGCTTCTTCATCGCGGTGTCCGTCATCACCAACGTGGTGGAGACGGTGCCCTGCGGCACGTCGCCCAACCAGAAGGAGGTGCCGTGCGGCGAGCGCTACACCGTGGCCTTCTTCTGCATGGACACGGCCTGCGTCATGATCTTCACCGTGGAGTACCTGATGCGCCTGTACGCCGCGCCCAGCCGCTACCGCTTCATGCGGTCCGTCATGAGCATCATCGACGTGGTGGCCATCCTGCCGTACTACATCGGCCTGGTGATGACCGACAACGAGGACGTGAGCGGCGCCTTCGTGACGCTCCGGGTTTTCCGCGTCTTCCGCATCTTCAAGTTCTCCCGCCACTCGCAGGGCCTGCGCATCCTGGGCTACACGCTGAAGAGCTGCGCCTCGGAGCTGGGCTTCCTGCTCTTCTCCCTCACCATGGCCATAATTATCTTCGCCACCGTCATGTTCTACGCCGAGAAGGGCTCCAGCTCCAGCAAATTCACCAGCATCCCGGCCTCCTTCTGGTACACCATCGTTACCATGACAACGCTCGGGTAAGAAGCAGAGCAGACACCTCTGTTCATGTGTGTGTGTGTGTGTGTGTGTGTGTGTGTGTGTGTGTGTTTCTGCAGCTGGGTCTGTTTATGTGCCAGTAAAATGTTGGATTATGATTCGATTTGAGATCTTTGTTCGACTGCTTGACCCCCGAAAAACCGTTCAGCTGCTTCAGAAGTCAGTGTCGTCCAAGATGTACTTGACAAACTTGGTGCGTCGCGATAAAGAGACGACAGATAAATTGCACGTTTTAGTAGCCGTGACTGACTGGTATTCTCCCGGTAATGGCCGTGCCGAGGTGCCCTTTATACTTCACCGATAACGGAGAGAGACAGACGTGTGGGATTGTAGAGGGAAACGGGAAGAGTTGAAAGCATCTGAGTGAAACAACAGCCATAGGATAGCAGACAGACAGACAGAGATCATCAACGTGCCCGGTGGTTAGCCGCTCAGGATGAAGTGAAGCGGTGACTTTGCATTCGGTTCCTCCCCCCTTTCACTCCTTTGTGAGTTAGACTAGTTGCTGGCCTTGAAGATTGAGAGCCTCTCGGTACGAAAGGCTCTGATTCTATGTATTCTGCAGAATACATGAATGCTCGGTGGTTCCAAAAATCTGTTCTGAGAGTTAACAGTTTAAGGTTTCGCTCTTCACATCGACATAAAGGAGATCCACCGAGCAGCATTCATGTAAAAAGAAATGATGTACAACCAACGTTATTTCCTTCTTCCAGAAACACGAGTCCAGCAAACGCCAGGAGAGTTTTCATTAATGCATTACGCCAAATGAATCAGCGCACACGAGGCCAAACTGCCTCCTGACCAGATGAACGGCTGCTCACAAGCAGAGTAGCATTTAAAAGGCTTCTTTAAATGGAGTCTGGTGCAGTGCTCACTGAAACGTCACGGAGAACAATAACAAGGTTTACATGCACCAAATATTAAAGTTCTGAATAAAAATAAATATTCCACTAATACCCCTGTTAACATGCGATTAACGTAACCGGTGGAGGACTTGTTGGACTGTGTGAACTCAGCCTCCCTCTTTCATTCTGGATATGCATTATGCATATCTAGAAACCTGTTGATATCCAACAGTAGGAGTGTTTCTCCTTCTTCTCTTCTGGACATCATCTCTACTCCAGCTTTACTAACTGTTGGCTAGTTTGTGTACAACTACTGTACAACGCACAGAGCTGAGGAAAGAGGCAGAAAGACCTAATTCGGAATTAAATAAACTGTTAACATGACTCGTATCAAACTTGGAATATTTAAATGTAATGTAGTCAAAGAGGGCAAAACAGCATCTCTGATCTGTTTTAACCAGGCGGCTCCTCTGGTCCTGGAAAGTGAAGCCAAAACTTCAAGTGTTAAAGCTGCATTCTCTCTAATGTCCCCCAGAGGGCGACTCCTCTGGTCGTATAGAAGTCTATGAGAAAATGACGAATCGGCTTTGATTGTATTTTAGATGAACATGAGGATGAATTCATTAGTTTTTCTTCGTTTTGATGTCATCATACGTTTCCCCCGGTCGTTTGATGGCAGTGAAGGGAACCACACACGCATATCATTGATTTCACACACACACACACACACACACACACACACACACACACACACACAC